TCCTAATTGATAAATCACGGCACACGTGCGGGAGAGGGGTGGGGGGGCTCGAGCTGTAATTCTTCCACGTGCGAGCCCTCTGTGGTAATCAAGTAAATGAAAGCGAGTGTGTTGGAAGGGTTCGTTTTAGCAAAGCAAAGCAAAAATAAAAAAATAAAAGAACGGGCGCTCAGTTTGACGGTCGAATAAATGAAGTCGCGGCAGCTATCGTTCTGTTCTCTCTCAATTCCAACCCGTAAGATTTGATTTGATCTCGTTTTGAGGGAGCGGGCGATTATGTTTTCATTGCAGCCGGGGCTAATTGACATCGACAAACGGCGCTCGGCTGCATCAGTGGCTCGGGTCGAAAGCAACCTCCAGTGCACTCTCACAAGTTCCCTTTCAACTCCGGCTGAGGAAAACGCTCCTTTATTTACTCGAAACGCAGCTTCGGCGCGATCAATACCGGCCCTCTTTGCTTTGAATACGACCTTGGGATGCGCCTGTTGGGATGCGGTGTTACATTCTCGGTAAAAAAAAAAAAAACACATTTCAAGCACTTTTGCAAACAAGTTCTGCAAGCTCTGAAGTGTATCGCCAACAGAGAGGCAGAAATGTGTCGCAATCTCATCTGAAGTTAGACAGGAAGTATTCCCGCCAACGGATTTCCGTCAAACGGAAATTCCGTCACCGGAATAAAAACCTACGCATTAAAATTTCGACTACGATATCACATTAACGATCGATTCAGAACAACGGAAGTTCCGGACTCGGAAGCTATACGGAAGCCCACAGTAGCGCAAATTCAAGAAAGTCCCGCTTGAAACTATGGAAAAAATTGCCGCCGGAACGCTATTTCGTCTCATCGGATCCACAAACGGCGACATGTCAGTGACTCTATTGGCATGAGTTTTTACTGTAATAGTGAACGATTTTTTCAAAAAATTCCGTTCATTTACATTTACGTCCTGTCCGATCGTTAGCATCCAAACGAAGAGGAACGGTAATGACCGCGGAACAGAAATCTGACTAGCTGCTCAGAGTGAATTGCTCGTGGCTCGACGGATAGTCAAGTAAACGAACGTTTCCTGGAATGCTTTACCTGTTATCGTGAGAAAAATATTTACAGTCAAACCTCGGTTTTCGTCCATAATCCGTTCCAGAAGGCTGTTCGAAAACCGAAACCAGCGACGCGAGGAAGGGTCACTTCCTCGTGTAAGGAAGGCGGGAGGAGTCAAATGGTGCATTCAAGTGCGCTCAGTTTGTTCGAGAACCGAAATTTGTTCGTCATCCGAGGCATTAAAAAAAAAAAACCTCGAAATTTTTGGTCAAAAACCGAATTGGACGAGAACCGAGATGTTCGAAAACCGAGGTTCGACTGTATAAGAATAATAATCGCTATCTGGATGGCTAATTAGAGTGAAGGCGAGCTCCATAGCGCTAACTATGGGCATCGAGGACTTCAAAGCGTCCCGTGGCTGCCTTCAAAAGTTCGTTGCACGACATCAGCTGAGCTACGCTGCCGTGTGTGGTGATCGAGGGGAGGTCAAGTTAGAGACGCCGACTGGGTGGAAAGAAAAGCCACCGGGTCCGTTACTAGTCTCATTTTGTCGCAAATAGTCCGAACTTTGTTATATTTTGTTCATTTTCCTGTACTGTATGCTGCAGTTTTTTTGTTATAAACTCTTTTTGGACCATATCGTTTTGCATTTTATTGCTTGTGTTGTTCCACGTGTATTTTGTTGACATACTTGCATGTTCATAAAGGACATGTACCATCGTCGTATAAGGAAATTCTGTTATAAGGAAAGATTGGACAACGTAAATATGATTCCTGACTCGAGAACATTGACCGTATTTGTGCAGCAGTTTTTTTTCAACCCCAAATCAAGCCACGGACGTTTACGGACGATTACGATGAGGGGCGGTAGCCCCAGCGAACGCCTCACCTACAGCCGGTTTGGAACGTCGGGGCAGGCGGATGATCAAAATGTCGCTTGCCTCTGCTTTTGCGGCTGCCGCGCAAACCCACGCCACCTACAATCCGGGAAGTTCTTTCTGAGCTGATGATGATTGCAGGATAAGAGGATTTTTGTTGTCGATGCCTAAATGCAAGGCTGAAAACAAGTACACGGCTGGCAAACAATTCAAAACTTCCTGGCCTAAAAACATCAGCACCTCTTGGTTGAAGCTTTTCTGTCGAGCGATCACAATTCCCGCAAAGGTTGAGAGGACGGCAGGCGGAGCTGCTAATCTATCTTTCATCTTTGAATCCGAAAAAAAAAAAGACATTTATACTCCGTTCGGTTGAGTAAAAAGCCTGCGGGGGTCCGGGGGGCGCAAGTTGCTCCGAGAGCCACTAAATTAAATTTCTGTCCATATTTATATGCATGGCGTGAACAAATGATTGAAAAATGACAGGCAGAAATGTCAAGAATAAACAATCATGTGTGGAAAACGCTCTTGGATATTGACTGGAGAAGCAGATGCTGGCTGCTGAATGCAATCCGTCACCTTATTATGACATCATTGATTGCATCACCCCTGCTGTCAACCAGTTCAGGGTGTCCCTCCTCCTCACCGCCACTGCGTCGACTGCCCGACGACAGCTGGGATAAGCTCCGTGACCCCCGTTGATGGTAACAAGGGTGGGGTATCTTTTTGGCGCTAGAACTGCGGCATTCGACCGTTTCTCACTCTGTGACCGTTTCATTCATTATTCATGCAAAATGATTTGCAAAGATCCAACTCAGCATCCTAGCGGGGGGGGGGGGTTGCAACTCCGGCATCTCCGACATCTCTCTTCCCGTTATTATTTGCCCTCGACGATGACATTCTAGCGACGTTTTCTTTCATTTCATTGGAATGGCTTGAGCGGACGATCAAGAGTGGATCCGGTTCAACTTCAAGTTGCTACTCTCTCGGGGAAGGAACTGTTGCATCACTTCCTCATTGGCGTAAAAGTATCCCACACGGGGACTGTAAAGGATTATCCTCTCATCATATTAATTTGATCACTTGGGCTCAACGTGACCCTGCAGAATTTTTTTTTTTTTTTTTAAAAACTCTGTTCTCACATGATTGACCTTTACAAGTGCAACGCAAGTGCGCCGAGCGTTTCGCACCCGAGACGAGATGACTGCGGTGACATCCCAAACATTGCTCAAGCGGCTCTGTACGCGCAAGCTTACCGCCGGCATGTTTTCCCCGACGCCTTTCAAAAGTTCAAGCCCTTGGCCTCTAAAAAGGCTTCCCCTGACCTCACGGCGCAGCCATCCAAAGTCTATTTTCAAATGAACTCTCCGCGGCGCGATCACACGATGCGAGCCATTTTAACTCATTCAGTACAAGCCAATTCTGGACCAAGTCTGAAAAGACGTTTAAAAACGTCTTTGGGAGTGAATGAGTTAAGTGACATTCGAGAAAAAACGTCAATGCATTTAGAAGATGGGGCGGGATTTCCCTTCAGGAGGCTTCCCCCGCATATATTGTCGGGAGAAAGACGGACTGCTTGGATATAAATAGCATTTGGGTTGGGGGGTGGGGTGTGTGCCTTTCGATTCGAGATCAGCGTCTGGCCCGCCATTGAAACGCTGTTTGTCTCAATGCAATTAACCTCAGAGAGCATTCTTGGCAATCACAAATCACTTTGAGCTTTGCGCAGGAATAACGACACTTCTTGTTTGCTGCGGTTTGCGCAGGACCAGGGTGGACTTTTCAGCCTGACTCGCTATGATTTCCCATTTAATCTAAATTTCGATTTGGATCGTCTTTCTTTTTTTTTTTTAATCAGTCTCGGCAATCTTATGAGGCTCAAACGGGCGCGCCGCAACGTCGAGGCCACCCCCCTCTGACGATAAATACAGTGACATCTCCTTCAACTCCACCTCATCCTCCTCGCCACTCAATTCGGTCGGTCAGCCTTGATGAAATCCAATCACCGGTCATATACGTCAGGTCTCAAGTATCCTGATCTCATCAGGCGGCGTGGGATTATATTCCAGGTCAAGCGGATCAAAAAGAAGAGGGTGAATGAAGTGTGTGCTTTTATCAAATTGTAGTGCACAGGTGTCAAAGTCAAGGCCCCGGGGGCCAGATCTGGCCCGCCGCCTCATTTTATGTGGCCCCGCGAAAGCAAATCAAGCATGGCAAGTTCCATGAAGTTTGCTGAAGTCTGAACCGACATTTCAAATTGTCATATGTAATCCACAAAAACAGTCATTTTGATTGACTTCTGACAGTGGTGCCCCAGACCAAATTCGATACAGCCTTAAAGACGTTTCAAAAGAACACGAAAGGGACTGGAAAAATATTGCAAAAAGCCAATGTGTCATCATTTGCCGCTGGCTGAAATGAAGCCCATCCAGGTGTGCTGAGTGCACTCGTGATGTGCTGACATCACAAATGATGTTTCAAACTTCCAAACAAATTTTGAGGCAGATTCTTGGCAGATATGTGGGTCCAACTCCCCATTTTCAAAGTTTTGGGTAGTTTGGATTTCAAGGTAACGCTGTGATCAGTTCTCACAGTCGCAGGCTCATATTTGCTGTACAGTGGTACCTCTACTGACGAACGTCTCTTCATACGAAATGTTGAAGTTACGAAACGTCCTTAGATCAGTTCTTGACAAAACGACAGGCAAAAAAAAAAACAATTCTGAGAGAGAACATGACCATCATTTTGATTTTTGGGTTTTTTTTTTTTTACATTATGCACAACTCATTTATTGTGCAGTAATCTCATTGTAACATGTATTTGTTGTTGCTTATTGATGCATTTTTATGCTTTAGAAAACAGTTATGTCTGAATTTTGAGGGTGTTTGGAACGGATTAGGGCATTTCCATGGAAAACGCGTCTCTGCCGACAAACTTTTCTACTTCGGAAATTCCTTCCCGAACCAATTCATTTCGTAAGTAGATGTAGCACTGAAATAAGGTTCTCACTGTTCCACGTAAAGACGAAACCTATGAGACGGGGTGGTATCGTGGCGCGATCGCGTTCGTCCTTTCGATTCCCTTACCTTGGCAGCGACAGAGGAGCCAGGCTTCTCCAGGAGATCCCACAGCTTCTTCCTCTTCTCCGGGCAGCAGGTGTTGTCGAACTCGCCGTCGCCCTCACGTTCCCTCATGGTCTCCGCCTCCCGGCGTAGCTCCTCGTTCATCTGCTCCTTCTTCTGGTGGTAGCGAGCCTGGCAGCAGGACTCCAGGTAGATCTCATCGATCCCCCAGAAGTCCAACTCCTGGCCAAAGGAAAGGGCGCACATCTCCTCCATCATGTGCAGCTTGCCCGTGCGGTAAAAATTCAGGATGGAGGTGAAAGCCCCTGGGTGGCGGTCAAAGAAGTACTCGTTCTCGTTCAGGCTGTAGTCGTCGCACACCTCCATCAGGGACTCGTGCGTGTTGCAGTCCCGCAGCTTGCCGAGGCGGGTCCTCGGCAGCCGATCCAGAGTCCGCCACAGGACTTCGTGGTTGAGTCCGCCGACGTTCAAGCGGACCCGGCGGGAGCGGGCTTTGGTGCGGATGATGTCGATGGGCTCCGGCGGCACAGAGGGAAGGGGTGGAACGTAGGCGGGCTTGAGCCCGGCTGGTCCCAGTTTCTCGGCCATGGCGGCGGAGAAGACCCAAAAGACTTGTGAGGGTTTCAAAAAGTCCACCAGAAAGAGCCTACGAAAGGGCGCCGGGTCCTTTTAAGGCAAGTCTCTCCATGGCTGAGGAAATAGAGCAAAACGTTTGAATGATGAAACATCCAGTGGTTTTACAAATTCACTCGCCGACACTGGTAATGACCTCGCTTCATCAAGTCTCCGGGACCGCGGTGGCCGGAATCACTCGTTGCTTTAAAAGTCAATATTTCTCGCGGAGGGTGGGATGAAAGCTCCACTCGAGAAGACGAATCATCGCCGATTGTCATTGATGTTACCGCTTTGTAACTCACATTACATTCGTTGCTCCAGAACAGCAATGCCGTTTTCTCCATTCATTTTACAATTTGAATTAAGCGTCTTTGATGTTCGAGCTCTTTGAGATGCACAAGGGAAAACCTGAAGGTGTCTCATTAAGAAACGCCATCTTTGTTGTCATGAATGATACACCCTGTACTTTTTTTTTTTTTTTTTTGCAAAATTTTAACCCAACAGTTATGCTTGCATATCAAGAACAGGAATAATATTACTGGTGACTATTTAATTAACCCACGTCACGCATAATTATTCAAGCATCAGGAATAAACACTGTTTACATGGTTTGGGTTACAGATGGACGAATATATTACATTCAGAACTCGATTACCCAGAATTTCAATCATATGGTCCTAATAATGTCCGAATAATGTCTACTTAATTATAAATATTACTTGACTAGTACTTAAAAAAAAAAATCAGTTGAATGTAACAGGAAGGTTAAAATGGGTTTAAGTTGCATTCGTAACACAGCAGCAATTCTCCCAAAATGTCAGGAAAAAAACAAAACAAAACGTATTTTATGTCATTCTTAATTTAATTGCCATTCATTTCAGTCAATATTGAGTGTATTGATTTTAAAGTGGCTCAATTTGACCGGTAACATGACAGATGTAAGGGCTAAATTATCACACGATCGAAGCTTGAGCATTCATTCTCCAAAAATCATAAGCGCAAATTGTACGTTTTCAAAATTGGTTCACTACACGTAACCCTCGGGTGACATTTCGTTCTACAAAAGAAGTGTTTTTGTTTTTTTAACTCAATCAGTACCAGCCAATTCTGGACCAAGTCTGAAAAGACGTTTAAAAACGTCTTTGGGAATGAATGAGCCAATAAGGTTGAGGGTGTTGTGCCTTGCTCAAGGGCACCCCAGTCCTATGTGTGATCCTGCACCCCCCTTTGAGGTTTTCTGAACCACTCCACCAAGGCTCCCACTCATCATCTCACTGATTAAGTCAATGTGAAACAAGTGATCCAAACGGGGAATAAAATCACATTTACTTCCGCTTGACTTGCAGAACAAATGTCTCGTTCTCCTGGCTTGTGACAGTGAGCATTCAGTCATGCAACAGTTCCGCCAAAATTTGTGAGTCTTATTAAAGTGATGTTTCTCCTCCAAAACGCAAGAGGCACGAGAATTGTTTTTTTTCTTCTTCTTTGCATCATAACGTCGCACCGGCTGCATGCCAACCGTTTTGGCTGCTTTGAAACAACGTCGGATGGGTCTTACCTTGCCAAGATAAGTCGCATTTGTCCATGCAAAGTCCTTCCATCTAGGCGGGATTTCCCCCACCACCACCCCCCCACACACCCCAGTCCTCCTCCTCCGCGTACAGTCAAGCTTCCACGGCCGAGAGTGATCCGCAGGCACCGTGCGGAGACCGCGCGCCAGGCATGCTGTCGACTCGAGTGCGCTGGTGTGTGCGCATTCCAAACATCTTCCTCCTAATGCTCCAACATTGCCCAAAGAGAGAGAAAAATAAAAGTCCCGCCTCCATCCGCACACGCGCTCGCTTGTTGCGATCACTTGCCGTGAGAAGGCAGGAAGGGGAGTTTAGGGAGGAGGGTGCGCAGAAGCGAAAGCGCCCAGCTGTAGTCCTGTGGAGTGGGCACACACACACCAAAGGGAGCTGAGAGGGGCTGCAGCACCTCCCTGGCGAGAGGTGAGCTGACTGGCCACCACTAGGCGGATCGCGTTTACAGGCAGGGTGGTGGTGGTGGTGTGGAGTGGGGTGGGGTGGGGGTGTTGCACACAATTGCATAAACGCTGAGTTGTGTGGGACGTGAGCGCCGCAGGAGCCGGCGCGGACACACAAGCCGTTGATGCCGTATGACAGACTTTTAACATGACAAACTTGATGAATCAGCAGATTTGATGAGGACATTTGGACAGAGAGATAACCCTGGTGTAGACCACCAGGTACTATGTACAGTCCCTTTTTTTTTTTTTTTTTAAAACAGCGCTCCAGTGAAATCTATTTTCTGAGCGGGTACTTAATGCAAAAAGTTGGATTACCACTAGAAAGTAGATGAACAGTTAAAATCCAACATTGTAGGCTGTCCAGCTTAAGGGCCACCGTGGTTAGCTGGGAATGTGCAAGTAAGTTAAATCACGTCGAGTCCATAATTGAAAGATTTGAAAATAAATCACACAAATATCCATTTTTAAAAAACCCCGCAAGTCGAGACCTCATAGTGTCAAAACCAGGAGGGACTCTTCAACAGGTAAGGCATGGGGCAGCCAGCCAGACCACAATAAGGACATTTAAAGGTTATTATTATTTATTTATTATTATTTATGTATGTATTTATTTATTTTATTTTATTTTATTTTTTATGAACACCACCTACTTTTCTCCATCCATCCATATTCTATTCCACTTTATCTTCACGAGGGTCGCAGGGCTGCTGGAGCCTCTCCCAGCTGTCTTGGGGCAGTAGGCGGGGGACACCCTGAACTGGTTGCCAGCCAATCGCAGATCTACTTTTATTTAAAAAAAAAAAAAAAAAACAACAACAAAACATGTTTTTTGCATGCCTTGAAAATACAACCAAACCAGCTACATTTTATTTTTGAGGGGGTGGGGGTGGGGGGGGGGGTCTTCATTGAGTCGCCACCGTAGCCACCCCACACCTTGGGTTTGCTACTTCACACATTTTGGGTCACTTTTAAACCAGCAGTCTGCCATCAAGCACTTGAGACGCGTAAGCTGACCCGAGCGGGAAAGACGACGACGACGCCCTGACCCTTATTCTCAAACAAGAGAACGGCGGGCTCAAGCAGACACACCTGCACGCCTCCGCCACGTAATCACAAGCCACCTTATCAATGCGTAATGATCTGCCCCACTTGCCACTCTGAAATGAATAGAGACATTAAATTATGCATCCCTTATTATCTCCTGGATCATTAGCTACAATGACGGATCGGACTCTCACTCATGTGAATATTGTTCAATAGAGCAGTGGTGTCTCTCCCTAGAGCTCCCGCTCGCTCGTGCGTGCGTGCGTGCGTGCGTGCGTGTGTGTGTGTGTGTGTGTGTGTGGTGGGACAGGGGGGTTTGAATAATTCCCCTTAGCGAAGCGTTTTCTTCACAGAAATGTGATTATACATTGCATACATGGAATTGATTTCCCAGTCATGTCCTTTCCTCCCAGGGAGGAGTAATCAATAGCGCCACATTGATTGAAAGAAAGCTTTGCCGCAAAACTACCAGTCCTTAACTACTTGTGTGTGCGCTTGAAGGTTAAAGGCGGCGCGCTGCAGGTGTCGAGTATGGTCCCGTCCACTCGCTTCGACACAGCCTTAATGGCAAATCACATATGGGCCCGATGAATTATTTGTACTGTACGGGGGCTTTGCCTCCGTCGCTTGGCTGGGCATATGTGATTTGAATGTGAACATGTGCATCAGGAAGGTTCCGCGAGTTCATTCGATGACTTACGGCGCGGGGAAGCATTTTGGTCAGGGCACGTCGCATCGGGTTAGCGTTGGCCTGGCGGCAAGTGATCAAGCCTGCGAGAAGATTAAAAAAAAAGTTGTGTGAAGTCATGCGAATCATTTGAGATTCAGAAGTTTGCATTCATTTGAAATTAAGACTCCAAATCACTGTCAAAATGGTCGACAATCACTTTTGGCTGACTTTAAATTTCATGAACCACTCCATGCATCCTGTTATGATAGTTATAGCCATTGGATTTCATCATTTTATTTATATATATATTTTTCATGCACGTTAGCCCGCAAGCTAGCTGCTAGCTAGCGCCTCTCGTTGAAAAACCTTGCAATGACTTGATGGGATATATTTCCATCCACCGGCGGCTTAAAGTGGAAATATTGTCACGTCTCAAACTTGGAGGGATGGTTTTTTTTTTAGACGTCAGCTATACGAACATATTTGATGACGGTTTCGGGGCCTGGTTTCGGCTCAATGAGCCGACACGCCAACAAGTGTCTGAGAGCTGTGTCGATTTTCAGGATTTTGAAGCGTCGTTTTATATTCTTGGCGATTGTCTGGCTTGTCGAAAATCCTCTTTGTTATTGTGAGTCAAATTTCTAAGACGTTTACAGGACTCGTTCATGCACCAATAATGATAAACTGTAACCTGAGAACATGATAAGCTGTCCACTGTCGTAACTGAATAAAATGAAAAAAAAAATGCCTTGCAATTTAACATCAATATCTGTCAAGGATTTGCCATTCGCCTTGCAAATCCTTCACCTCGCGTAAACAATAATTTAATCAGGCGTATCATTGAACTGTCCTCGCAAGCTAGCCTTGGTTGCGTAGACCCTCAAAGGTGGGGCATTATGAGGCGAGAATGATCTGTCGATGAGATGTGCTGACAGCGTCAAAAGCGGCGGGAGGGACGGAGGGGCGACGATGGGGTGGGAGGGGACTTGTCCAAGTACGTCCGTGGCTGTTGTCGGCGTGACTGAGCGGACGCGTTTTATGACAAATTGCAAAAGGGAAAATACAGCAGTGCATTGATAGCTCAGGGATGAGGCAGTTGCTGCCGTCAATCAGCTCGCGACAGTTTGGGATTTGTGACAATGCAACGTCGCCGCCGCGCTACTGTTGAGTCTCCTCACTCGACACGAATGAGCCCCCATTGGTAAGCATCCTTCGTCGTCGAATGTGGGCGGGGCATGACGTCAAATGATTACTTTGCGGATTCAATGTGGAAAAAGGTGGCGCGAGGGCCCCTGCAGAGTTAGAATGAATTATCCCCCAGCACCAGTTTCACCAAACAATACGACATTTTGTACACATTTCTATCGTAACAGGACACATGGGAAAAAGCCTGAAGAAAACATGCTTGAAAAGTAACGGGCCTGGAAGTCGGCCATTTTAATTTGCCGCAGCCATTTTAGGGGCCAAATATATGTAATGAAAAAGTGGAGTGGAAGGTTTGAAAAATGACCACTGGATATCATAGCAAAACAAAACCAAAAACAAAAAAAAAAACAGCATTCAAACAAATGAAAAACTTTTTTTTTTGTCTCCCACTCTCTGGGCTGTTTTCCCAGTGCATCATAATGCACTTAAAAAGAATAACAATAATAAATTGTGTCATTTGTTATATCGAAATTTGGGGAAGGTCCAGTCCTCCCTCACAGCGAGACCACCAACTGCGAGCATAACGAGTGCCTGTGTGTACACTGTTCAGCAACAGGGAGGAAATACACAGATTGCACCAGCCTAATTCTCTTTCTCTCTCTTTCTTTTCCTTCCTTCTCGTGTGGCTATTAATAGATGCCGGCCATGTCAAGGTCCACACAAAGCACCCACCCGCCCACAGTGGGCAGCAGAGGCCTTCAGTTTAATGACCCGCCATACGCCAGAGTCATAAATCCATGTCAGCTCTTCATTCATCCAACAACAAACACCTGTTCACCTCTGACACTGCCAGCAGCACCCCTACGAGTCAAAAATACACACATCACAACACACACACGGGTTACGTCTGTAATAATGCTACCACAACATCTCACTTGAAATCCCACCATGGACCACTTTTTATGTCATCAACGTGTTAATCACTCGTCGCCACCATCACTCAAAGCAAGGTAGCCATGTCCTCATCGCACAGGCTGTAGTTTTGTGCTGGCGGCTAGGGTGAAGCACACGCGCGCACGCACACACTCACGATTGATCATGGCTCAGTGTTGCCGCTTGTGTTTGCATAATACATCCAGGACTGTGAGTTCTAATTGGGGGGAAAAAAAAAGGTTCTATTTATTTGGATTCCCATTACGACTGCCCGCTGTGTAATACAGCCCAGAATGGCCAAACAGAGATATAAAAGAATGATACAACGCTAATGGTACCGAACACTGAAAAGAGGCTTGATAAACTCTGCGTAGAATAAAAATGCTTGAATTACATAAATGCATGGGGGGGGGGGGGGACTGAAACTGAAACTTTCGATGAGAAAACAGGAACCTATTAGTGCAAGTTGGCCATTTATGTGCTTTTTCACTAAATCTTTAGATATTCTTGACATGATATTTTGATGATGGTTATTTGAGTCAAATACATTTTTGGGAATGTTTTTATTCTTGAATAATGTGACAGGATTCTGTTTTCTTTTTGGTTTTAACTCTTAGCTACGTCTCGCTAGCAAATGGATCCCAAAACAGGCTGTCCATTTGAGTGCCTGATTAAAAATCAAGTTTAAAAAAAACATACTCAAGCATATACAGCCACATAAGACCACTGTGTGTGCGACATAGACATGAACACACACACACACACACACACACACACACACACACACACACACACACACACACACACACACACACACACACACACTGTATATGTGCCTGATTAAAACTCAAGGCTTTAAATTAAAACGTTTGCCACTATATTTCCAGATGTTCTTGATATATTGTAATTGACATGGCCTTGTTAATGCTGAATATAGTGCTTTCTATTGTGATATTTTCTAGTCGTTACCTGGTAGCTATGTTCAGCTAGCAAACAGGTGCACCACATGCATGCTAGATTAAAACTGGCAACATTAGGGAGCACCAAAATCTCTGGCAGTGCCAGTGTTGGAAAAAGATGTTGTAAGCCATCTTTTTGACTACATTTGCTCGAAAAAAAATGTGGAGACGTCCAATATGACGGGAACACTATCTATAGCGGTTGTAAAACAATGGCAATATCC